CCTACCATTTGTATTTTACTGGAGACGTGCGCAATGCATACGCAATCACTCTGAAGCTGTTCAAGTATTGTGTTACACCACGAGCATGCGCTGGAGAATGGCTCAGATCACAGAAAAATCCGGACACGTCTGGAGGAAAGCGAGGGAGTGGATTGAGTGACATATTTAGTTAGAGAATAATGTCGGGAGAAACCGAACGTCCATAAGGAACGGAAGATGTAAATATTTACACGTCGTTAAATGAGTTTTAGTCAACAAATAGGGGAAGCGATAATGATGCTGACAGCTGTCAAGTGAACATTATCACCTTAAACTCATTACTATAGAATAAATGAGGAAACAAAACAGATCATGAAAACCGAAAGATAAGACAGTAAATTATACTCCAGTTTGGTGTACTAATGTTGGTAAAAGGAATTCACTACAAGTAAAGACAAACAAAATACTAATATTTCAAAAGAATCTTATTCAAACTCAAAATGATTTCACATGGGCAACATATGAATAAAAGCAAAAACGTATACGGAACTATTGAAAAAGTTCAAGATATTGCAATAGATTAAGTGACTACTATCTAAATCTTGGTTCTACTGTCCCAGTATGTAAAAAATTCACGAGGATAAGACCAGCATTTGGCTCCGTTGATATAGAAAGCTAAGAATATTCAGATAGGATAAAGAGGAATTTGCTGTAGACATATTCGTATCTTTCACGAATAGTATTTCATTTGAAAAATAGCCATAAATGTTTTGGAGAACGAAAGTAAAAGTGCAGAAAAAAATTGAGGTTAAATTGAAAAAAGTTGATGTTATGTTGTAAATATGAGTCTTTCAATAAAACAAAAACTATCTAAACAAACAAAGATATTGGAACAGTAAAAGAGAAACCATGAAAGAATAATTAAGCAAACTGTAATCCAATTAGAACTATGTTAATGGACCAAAGGGCAGATATAGAGCCGATAGTATCAACCCTACAAGAGTAATAAAGGAGTGATGACCTAGATGTTGTACCAATGTATGGTATACACGAGACTATCTCTCTCGCGTTAATGGCCGAGATCACGTGACTAGGACCAGCCCATTCCGGTCTTGAAGAATGAAATATTGATGAGCTAGGTGCTTTGTACACGAGTCGATGATAACGTAGAATTGCGGGACATTGTGTCCTACATTTGAATTAATAGGAATCGGTCCTATCTCCCTGACCGGTTAGTTTTTGCGACCTTTCGTGTAATTTACACTTTAACATTTAACCTCGATGAGGCTAATTTTACAACACAATGGTATCGCGTCACAATATATTTGTAAGGTTTCTGAGAGAGTCAGAGTCCTTATCAGAGGTGTAGAACGTTTTCATTGATGAATAAGGGATAGGAAAATTGAAAATATATCAACAAATATTCTTTGTAATGCAGGTCATTTAGTACATATTATTGTAAAGAGAAATTTGCGTAATTGATCTGACTTTGAGTTGACTAATACCTTATTAGGAAGTAGACTAAATTATAACATGTCTAATGAAGAATATTTAAGATTAGAAAATTAAAAGTTTTGGTATCAAATGCTCAATTACAATTAAACCTTCGATATTATTTGCATGTTTTCAATAACTTTGGTTATCCAAATTGTCATTGAGGAAATAAAGAGAATATTTGTATGTGTTCCTTTCAAGTTTTAACAATGGTATATGACAATGTATCTGGATTCGCAAGTTTTGAATCGTCGTGAAAATTAAGTTCACGTGAAATATAAATAATGTACAGTATTTGTTGGAGTTGAATTTTAATGATGGTGATAAAACACAAGTTAATATTGCCTGAAGTATGCTTTTGCCTGTTTCTAGATAGAACCGAGAAGTACTACAAATCATTTGAAATTTAGCCATTACATGAACACCTACTATATAATTTAGAGCATCACAAGGTAATACAATAGGGAGAGCAGAAGTGACCAAAGAGGTGAATATCGAGTGTTGGGAATTTGCTGGCATTCTTTTCCATATTGTTATCTAAATAGAACAGAAATTTACTCTTTGAAATAAGATATCACGTTCACAGACAATGACCTAATATATCACGTTCACAGACAATGACCTAATATATCACGTTCACAGACAATGAGATAATATATCATGTTCACAGACAATGACCGAATATATCAGTTTCACAGACAATGAAATAATATTCCATGTCCACAGACAGAAATAATATATCAGTTTCACAGCCAGAAATAATATATTATGTTCAAAGACACAGAAATAAAATATCATGTTCGAAGACAACGACCTAATATGTCATGTTTAAAGACAACGACCTAATATGTCATATTCAAATACAACGACCTAATATGTCATGTTCAAAGACAACGAAATATGTCATGCTCACAGATAGTAATAATATCTAATGTTCACAGACTCGAATTGAAAACAATGTAGAATGTTTGCTACTTTAGAAGTGCACTTTATAATGGATATTATTATAACTGTTTTGCAAAAATGTTTATCACCAAATGGAGCGAGATTTTTTCTTAATATTATAACAGACCATTTTGTGTTTGTGTTGAAAGGACCGTTAAGATACTGTAAGATTTATGACAACATAAAAAATGCGAACGTATATCAATCTCCTGTCTGAGATGATACATTCTTAAAATCACCAAGTGAAGGACAGACGTATATCTATTTCACTACGATATAGGCATAACATTTCAAATAAGCGAGGAAAAAAATGCATGGGAAATTAATGTGATTTCCTTATCAAGAGGGAAAACATATATAGTGATGCATATAAGGTAAAAAAAGCCACCATTGCATTTGTTTATAGCTTTTGGTGAAGACGAGACTAACTTTTTGAACTTAGGACACCACAACGTCTATACCATACTGTTAATAACTGTTCTCTGGTGTACCATATCTATACAGTGCCACAACTTCTAGTGTGTTTTTACTCTTTGTCTGTGCGATGCACTTTTAAACAAACATACATTGCATTAACGTCAAGCAGTGGTATGAGCCCACGGGTAATGTCAATGACTTTTCTGGTGTAATAATGCACCAAAAAGGCAAATGATATTGAGAAACTGTATGGAAAAATATTTTAAGAAACAAAAACCGAAGAAAACATTGTTATCTCGGCAATACAATATTACTACCGTAAATTTTATTTATGACAAAAGTTACCTTGTTAAAAGAGGAATAATGCAGTTTTGTCGAATTTTTACGACACTTTTTTGTGTGACACAGACAACGTGTCGACCTTTGAGTGCAAGTTTTGTAAATATTTGTCCAAAGACACAAAGAACACTATACCAAACCAATACTGGTCAAATACTCTTATTTCTTTGCTTTGAAATATTAGAATTTTGCTTGTTTAAAGTGACTCTATCACCTATTATTAATATATTTTAATTGGAATAAACTTGAAACCTTAAACTTACCATCATTGACCATCACATTATATTGACATTGTCTAACATTTCAAGAAAAAACTTAACTGTGTTCGGGATATGGATGGAAAAACCCGATTTCTTGCATTGTTAAAGCAACGTGCACGAAACAAACCTTAATTATAAAATTATGTAAATGTTAAAATTAATTTAATAAATTTTATGTTATTTCACATTGATTTGTTCAGTTATGTAAAATTTCAAAAATGTGTAGTATTCAGTCATATTTTGTTATCATGTTTTGCGATGGAGAGTTTTATTTTTGAGTCGAAAGATAAATATAGTAAAAATACAGAAATAGCTTGAAACCTGAAATTTCTGATTAAAGTCTGACAAAATTTACGTGAGAAATGTAACCCTTTGTTTCCATAGTAATTCAACCCTATTCAGCATTGAAAATACTTGTTACTTGTACGCACAATCCCATAGATTCTCTTTCGCAAATGTTTGGTATTTTCCTGAATTCTTATTCCTTCGTATGCTTGTTACATGAATGTCTGGAAATAACAATTCAAACTGATTGTAGCTAGCTTTCCCTTCTGTTTGGATCTCAGGTGAAGTTCGTCCCTTTACATTATAACCAAGGGTATGCATAAGCATTAGGATAAACATGGTTGAATGGTGTTCAGGGTCAGTTAAAAAAAAACTAAGAATTATAAGAAAGGTTAACAAAAATGGCAGAATTTCGAATTTACATTCTTTCAGTCGGTAATCGCCAAACCTCAATAAGAACACGTTACCGTCTTTCTTGTAAAAGATGTTTCATGCTCTTTTTTATAAACACATTGGCTTCCTAAATAATACACATTCTAAGGCATCAGGGAAGTTTCTATAACTTTTTATCTCTATGATTTTATAAAGGCAAGCTTGCCTGTAAGATTAAAACACTTTCTTTAATACACGTATTGACCATCAAGCCATTTTTTACCTTTATTTTATCTATGAGTGAGTCTATCTTTATCTTCTGTTTATACACGAGCATAGCTAAGAAATTAGCTACCACGTATCGATGACCTAGCTTTTACAGTTTACCTGTGTTGTCTATTGAGCACTTCCTTAATACCTAACCGTTCACGTGTTCGCGAACCTTGCTTCCTGTCATCCAGGAACCACTATATACCTGACTGTTGGTGTGTCGCAGCCGTCTGTGACCAACGGATGCCGAGGCTGCATAGTCATTCAGAGCCAGTACTGAGTCTCATACTACCCTTGTGACACGCTCCACACATACTACCATTGATCAGTAGTGGTAGTAGACTACGCCACAGTCCACTTCACGAGCCGGTGTGGCTAGCTCTCAAACCATAACAAAAACATTGCCGAGCGACAGGCTTTTGTTTAACGGGCGCGGGAAGTTAAATAATTGATACGAATAGATTAAATTGCCATATTGTGATACAGCAGTGACATATGCTGTAGAATATATTACTGCGTCTTTCCCAATGGGTATCGTCTACCTGCCGTAGGAGCTTTGCCTTTTGTTGTGTGAATCTATGTGATTTTCTTATCAAGAATGTCCCGATTAAGGGGAACATCTCCTTTTACTCCTTACAGGGTACAGGAATCTGATGGGAATTTCTTTGAAAGTTTCACCGCGTTGTCATGGAGACAAGCCAACAAGAGGTTACGTGCAACATCAGAGGTAAGTCTAAATCCTTTTTATGTAAACATGCTGTGTGAGGACAGCTTGGTTGATGTATATCCAGGAAACAGACGATCACGTAGATAAAATAAATACTGTGGCTGTCTATGATGTGATCGATCTCTTAGTTAATGCGCAAGTCAGAGTGCGGGAGCGATTTCCTAATATCCAAATACCGAGCACAATTTTGTTGAATTAGCAGCTTAAACACATCATTTTTATCGACACTCTTTTAAAACAAAAATCCTTGTTAAGATGACCAAACGTAATGAAATATTTGTTAGCTTGATGGGTCGCGCACGGGATACTTGTGTATTTGGATAATGGATAAACATCAAACTGTCCACATTAAAAGCATAAATATTAAGTTAATTAATCATAAACTTGAAATCACTAACAAAATACATGTCTACTTGGGTCAGATTATGTCCACTTTACGTTAAAGTATTCATAACTTGTTAGAATTTCATTTCTCATTAAGGCTGGGATTGTAACCATTGGTCAACGTTCATTCAATATAACCACTGCTAGATGGACCGTGTCGTCAGCAACAACAATAGGTCCTTATTTCGCAATTACATACATCATTCATCTACCAAGCTTGTCAAATGCAGTCGTGACTCCAATGTTTCACACTTCACTGATTCTGATATTGTCAATAACGAATGCAGTGAACCGCACGTTTCGATCAATATGTTTAAAAACAAAGACAACTAATTATTAGCGTTTGTTCTCATTCAATCGGGTTAGCTTTACTGGAATAACTTCGACTTCAACATTTTACAGTTTTTTTATCAGTCGGCAATTTATTCTGATATGGAAACATCTCAGTGACGTAGGTATTGAATCTACATTAGGAAACACTCAAATAATTCAGATACTATGAGAGTGAGAAGCTTCAGTAATAAAACGAAACATTTTTCGTCAAGAAAGCGTAACAAAGCGTTAGTATTTGTAAGAACAAAGTATTGCTCAAATAGTTAGTGCCATTTTTGCGTAAGAATTACTTTTCATTATCTCAAAATAAGTCATTTGTTTAGATTTCATCTTCTAAATCACTCTAGGTTATACAATAGGCACACAGGTGAAAAGCACATTCTAAAACAGATTTAGAAATACAAATATTGTATAGACATTCGGGCCAAATGATGAATAAAACTTCAGCATACATACGTTTCCGCATTCTAGGACTCGTCAGTGACGGTAGGGACCAATAGATATGAAACTCAAACATTTATAGTTATCAGTATCGTCACCAAGTAAAAACATCGATCCTAGGTAGAAAGAAACATCACAAGTTTTCAATAGAAATGTCGTTCACTAACTTTTTTTCACATTTCTAATTAAACAGTCTTAACATGTTGAGTCGATTTTATGTTCAGGAAATGGTCATCACGTCAGTATATTTGTCGAGGTTGAATTTGTAAGTTTCGTTAACTAGTTAAGAAACAAATTTGTAAGCCTTGTATTGAGTTGCAAAAAGAAAATATTATATCACAATAAAGACATTATACTCGAAAAGAAATGTCAACGAAAAATACCTAGAAAATGTGAGGAATATACTAATAATGTCTTCATTGTCCTCAAAGCATTGGACACCATTTAGAATATGTTATAACAATGTTCCACTTTTACGAGCAGGATATAGAGTACAGAAGGTCGATTGGCTTCTATAAAGTCTACAAATTCTCCAGTATTTTTGGGATTTGTTATATTTTTGAATTCCTTTTAGGAATAGGCCATGCATCTAAAATGGGTTAGAAGTACCCCAAACTAAATACATGTTTGTTGTGTCTTTGGAAAAATGAAATTAACTCAGAAGTGATAGCATGGTATATTCTGGTATGATGCCTACAAATGTTTTCAGCGGCAGAATATCCTTTTTGTGTGTGTTTATTATTTCCTTTTTACGCTTTATTTTTTGTTTGTTTGTTTGGGTTTTTTTGCGTTTTAAGAATAAATCAATGTACAAAATATCTTATCTAATACTGATTGATTGCATGGTACATAATTTTTGCAATATAATACCAGCATCTGCTAACAGAGAGGTTAATATGTCAGAAAGTAGATTATCACCTACAAATGTTAACCAAAATGGTTATACATAATGTATATGTAATGATACCCTATCGCTGCTGAAAGCTCGAGTCACTTGTATATAGGTGTTATCCTGATAGATAGAGTGACGATGGACGTAACATTGATCTGATTCTCTCTCGTTTAGTCTTAATTCACTCATGTTGCCAGACAGAGTTCATCTCAAAATTCAGTACAACCAGCAACGGCCCAAATCTAATCTTTCAACCAAGGCGTTTTAAATGATCGGAATTAGGGAAATGTTTCTTAAACCAGACAACACTTTAACATTCTTCATTCTTCTTAGCTTAGGGGGTTATGTACAATAGGTAAAAGATTACAGAGTGGCACGGTCATAGCGGTATTGGGATTGTCATTTGGAAATATACATGTATTGCCTTGTGCAATAGGAAGACTGATGTGTACGTCAGTGTGTCGGGTGGTTTCGTTATGTTGAAACCTTGTTCTCGATTTGAAAATGTGACATTATTTGAAATGATTAAAAACTTTACATGCGGGGTGTCATTTATGAAAAAGAAGCATTTCCTTCTAAAATACTTGGTCTAGTTCTCCTGGTATTATTTTTGGGATCCGCTATAAATATCTGATTTATTCATATTTTGCCAGCTGTCTATCGATTATGAGTTTGAATTATGATTTTGTTAACATTTGACGCTAATTACTTTGTTTCCTGCAAGTGTAAATTGCTTGTTAATTTGAGATTGCCTTTGAACATGCTAGATTTTAGGAAAAGGTCATTGCTAATTAATGTGTTTCATACATGCGCAACATGGTTCCCTCATGTCTATCAAATAGCTCAATGACATGATCATTTATCGAACAATCAGAACAATGGGGCGGTTGTGATGTGGAAAGACATATATACCGTGATCAAGGGAAACGTACAACGCTTTGGAAAAAAATCAAGGTGCGCGTTGCTGAACCTTCATGCAGCTAATTGGTAACATGTCATTAAATCTGCCAGGCGCTGTATATGTGATAGAACTAGGATAATACATGACGTCACCGCTATGGAATCGCACTTGTTAATGACTTTTTTTTCGTATTTGGTTTGATATCGTGACAATGTCTTTTTGTACCAATTAGCAGTGAAAAGCAACTTGGGAATGCAAAACACGATCGTAGAATAAAATAATTATTGTTATGTAAGTCATCACTAAATCTACATGTGTAGCATTAGGAATAGCTTGTTGGTCTATTTGACCCTCTAGTCCATAATTTGCTGGCTATTTCAAAAACTATATTTTCGTACTTTATTATTTTTGATCTAACATGCAAACTAAGAAGTAACATATTTATAACACTAATCATAATTTGTATAAAGGTCTTTCTAAACGTGTTATTACTGTAGATCAATGGAGCGTAACATAATATATTCATTTTAATTGATGTTACTGCTTGTATTGTATACAGGCAATTCATACACCTTTCTGTACATTATACCATTTATTTCTATTGAAACTATAGTAACGCAATGCATGCCTCATACAATGATATCGGTATAGGCATGCATGTAGGCAAATCAGCCATGGAGATCGTAGTTGCGTTCATCACGCGATATATAGGTACATATTCCCATGCTTAATTCACTGTCATCCTTTCTTGTCGTAATAATGCTCAATTTAAGATATTTCTAAACGAATGATTGAAGCATTGTTATTACATCCGTTTGTTTATCCGGCTCTATTCTTTATCTCAGTTTTTGCTATGTGTATATAGTTCACAACACAGCATTCATTACTAACATCTCTACCGTACTTATCGATCACCACCTAAACAGGTACTATTTACCAACGAAATTGTAACGGCTCTGTCGCGTAATTTTGCAGAATATATCTTACTACTTTAGACTATAAAACATAAATGAACCGCAATTATGATAATCAATATTGTTCAGTTGAAGTTAAACATTTTCGTTTTCATCAACAGAAATCTTGTTTATTGCTTCTACATTAACTTTTCCTTACATTTCAATCACGATAAAAACATCACAAAACATATAAAATTTGTGACTTGCACTAAAACATTCCAATTTCTGGATATATTATGCTTCAGTAGACCCGACTCAAGTTAATATGATCTTGTTCCCAATAGGACATTCTAGACAGATATCGCCATATAACGGAAAAAGACTTGTTATACCCGGTAACATGGGATACAGGTTGATCGTTATCTTCTTCCTGGTGATATCATTGTTCTTCTGCCTGGTGATGTCATTGTTATCAAATGTGAAATGTCCTTATGATATATGACGTAAGATGTGTTCTTCTGCCTGGTGATATCATTGTTATCAAATGTGAAATGTCCTTATGATATATGACGTAAGATGTGTTCTTCTGCCTGGTGATGTCATTGTTATCAAATGTGAAATGTCCTTATGATATATGACGTAAGATGTGTTCTTCTGCCTGGTGATATCATTGTTATCAAATGTGAAATGTCCTTATGATATATGACGTAAGATGTGTTCTTCTGCCTGGTGATGTCATTGTTATCAAATGTGAAATGTCCTTATGATATATGACGTAAGATGTGTTCTTCTGCCTGGTGATGTCATTGTTATCAAATGTGAAATGTCCTTATGATATATGACGTAAGATGTGTTCTTCTGCCTGGTGATATCATTGTTATCAAATGTGAAATGTCCTTATGATATATGACGTAAGATGTGTTCTTCTGCCTGGTGATGTCATTGTTATCAAATGTGAAATGTCCTTATGATATATGACGTAAGATGTGTTCTTCTGCCTGGTGATATCATTGTTATCAAATGTGAAATGTCCTTATGACATATGACGTAAGATGTGTTCTTCTGCATGGTGATATCATTGTTATTAAATATTATATCTCCTTGTGCTATTTGACGTAAGACATATGTATTGTTGTAATCGAATATTATATTT